TGAAAGAAATCCCTAGCTACTGCCCTGACAACTCCCCAAGCTATCAGTACAAAATAACACCCAATCAACATTTGGGTTCGAAACTATAACCAATAATCCATACTTGGTGCAAAATGACCATTTTACCCCTAGCCTAGCTTGATCCAAAGCTAAGGCCAAAATCCACAATCTAAAAGGCCGAAAACCAAAAACTCATCCAAGGCCCACTTATGGCCCAATTTTCCAAATTGGGCCCAACCCATCATATGGGCCTTACCCTAAAGCCCAATAACATTTCTTATCCCCAAAGCTTGATTTCAGATGGCCCAATAAAGCCCAAAGCAACCAAGTCCAAAGAAATGGCCCAACCGAGGCCCAAAGATGCGAAGCTCAATCTGACTGAGTACGCGAGATGTATTTAGTTGTACGCTGAGCGTACACGCTGCATGGCTTGTACATTGTGCGTACTAGCTTGTATGCCCACTATACTCCATTATTCAGCCATTTCTTCCATTAAGCTCTTAATTCTCATAACTAAAGGTCCAAAACATAGATCTGAGCCCCAAAGGATGTTTAGAACCATAAAGTCACTGACTTTGTGACTTTGCATGCCCCAAATGAGCCCAAACTCGAACTATAACCTTCTAATTCCAAAAAATGGCCATATCTCATGCATGGATACGTCTAAGCTTCAAAGGTGACAACTTTACCAATCTAGGACCAAAATGAACACTAAGAGTGGAAACTCTAAGCTTCTGAAATGATATGAACTACAAGATCTCATCTATAGGACCAAAAAGGGTCCAAAAGCTAAAACAATGAGATCTATGTTTCGAAAGATCAAGATCAAGACTTATACCTTGCACAAGCTAGAAATGGAGAAGATAATCTAGATATACAAGCTTCTCCTTGAACCACCACCTTGCTCCAACCATCTCTTTCTTGAAAACGGGATTAAAGACACAAAATGTGCTCAAAAGACCTCCCAAGCTTTAGAACACTCAACAATGGGGTTAGGGTTTCATGGAGGCTGATTAGGGATAAGAGGGAGGCTGATAGATAAGATCATTGGGACATAATGTTCTTTAAAGAGTGATAATACCCTAAATATTTGGTTTTTGGGGTCTGGACATGTACGTTGCGCATTCTCCCTTGTACGTAGCGTGTATCTGCATGGCATCCACGTCCCTTTTACTCTATTACACCCAAGATCCGGCACATCCTAAGACAAAAATGAAAAAGGTCCAATGACTTCAAGGCCCAAACTCTAAATAAATAAATAATCAAATTTAAATAAATACCTAAGAACATCGGGCGTTACAATTCTCCCCCACTTGAATCAGACTATGTCATCGAAGTCTGCTGCCCCGAACAACTATGGATAATGCTCTGTCATCTCATCCTCAGGCTCCCAAGTCCACTCTTACCCTATATGGTGCAACCACTGTACCTTCACCAGCTTCATAACCTTTTTCCTCAAGGTTTTCGCCTTCCGATCTAAAATTGCCACCGGTCTCTCAATATAATTTAGGTAGTCATCCACCTGAATATCGTCCAATGATACAACTGTGGAATCATCCAATAAACACTTCCAGAGCAGAGAGACATGAAACACGCTATGAATCTGGCTATGCTCGGCTGGAAGATCTAGACAATATGCAACCTAGCCCACCCGAGCCAAGGTCTTAAAGGAACCAATATACATGGGGCCTAGCGTGCCCTAATTCCCAAATCGAATGAAACCTTTCCAAGGTAACATCTTTAGGATAACCATATCTCCCACCTAAAATTCCAATTCCGATTGGCACCTGTCAGTATAAATCTTCTACCGACTATGAGCTATTTCGAGCTTGCTCCGTACTTGCTAAATCAGCTCAGTGGTCTTGAGTGCCACCTTGGTACTCCTCATGACTCATTGAATGACCTCACCCTAACAAATCAGGGTCCTACACTTCCTCCCGTAGAGCATCTCAAAAGGAGGTTGATCAATACTAGCGTGATAACTGTTGTTATATGAAAATTCCGCTAACGGAAGTTATGTATCCTATCTTCCACTAAAATCCAACATGCACGCATGCAAATAACCTGAAGAGTCTTAATAGTCCATTCACTCAGACCGTCGGTCTTCAGATGAAATGTCTTGCTAAAATGGATACGAGTGTCCATCTCGTCATGGAACCACTTCCAAAATCTAGAAGTAAAACGAACATCCCTGTCAGAAACTACTAATATCGGCACCCCATGATGTGTCATCACCTCCCTGACATAAATCTCGGCCAACTTATCTACAAAAATACTCTTTTGGATCAGAATGAAATATGCACTCTTGGTCAAATGATCCACGATGACCCAAATAGAATCCACTCTGCACCTAGTCTTGGGAAGCTTTGTGATAAAATCCATAGTGATATCTTCCCATTTCCATTTCGCCTGGCATCGAGCCTTAGCTTGATCCAAAGCTAAGACCGAAATCCATAATATAAAAGGCTCAAAACCAAAAATTCATCCAAGGCCCACTTATGTCCCAATATTCCAAATTAGGCATAATCCCTCAAATGGGCCTTACCCAAAATCCTAATAAAGTTCCTTAGCCCAAATGATTGATTTCAAATGGCCCAATAAGATACGAAGCGCAAGCTAACTGAGGACACGAGGGGCGGGGGTACTCAGTTGTACACTAAGCGTATAGGCTGCATGACTTATATGCACAACGTACTCCTTCATTCAACCATTCTTCGATTAAGCTCTTAATGCTCATAACTAAAGGTCCAAAACACAGATCTGAGTCCCAAAGGATGTCTAGAACCATAAAGTCGCTGGCTTGGAGACTTTTCATACCCTAAATGAGCCCAAAATCGAATTAGAACCTTGTACTTCCATAAACTGGCCATATCTCATGTATGGATGGGTCTACGCTTCAAAGGTGACAAATTTATCAATCTAGGACCAAAATGAACACTAAGAGTGGAAACTCTAAGCTTCTGAATGATATGAACTACAAGATCTCATCTATAGGACCAAAAAGGGTCCAAAAGCTAAAACAATGAGATCTATGCTTCTAAAGACAAGATCAAGACTTTATACCTTGCACAAGCTAGAAATGGAGAAGATAATTTGGATATACAAGCTTCTCCTTGAACCACCACCTTGCTCCAACCTTCTATTTCTTCTAAGCTCAAGAACACTCAACATTGTGGTTAGGGTTTTGTGGAGGCCAATCAGGGAAAAGATGGAGGCTGATAGAAAAGATCTTTGGTACATAATGTTCTTTAAATAGTGCTCAAACACTAAATATTAGGGTTTTGGGGTCTGGACACGTACGTTGTATGTACTCGATTGGATGAAGCGCGTACCTGAATGACATCTGTGTCCCTTTTACTCCAGTACGCCCAATGTACGTACGGTGGTACGCCCCGCGTACGGCATACCCGAAGCCTAAAATGAAAAGGTCCACTGACTTTAAGGCCCAAACTCTAAATAAATAAATAACCAAGTTTAAATACATACCTTAGAACATCAGGCATCACATAAGAACACGAAGATCTAAATAAACTATGTTTTTCAACTCAAAAGATATTTGGAATGATATAGAGAGAATCGAGTATCAGAGTATTTATACAAAAGATCTTCCTTTAATATCTAAGTACTTACCCTAATTATAGGGTACCCACGAACAAAAAAAATACAAGGACTAGACATGACATGCAGAACTTTCTTATGCCTTGTAAGTACATTAGAATAACAAAAGTCCTTAGACTTCCGTTATTTAAAAGAACAAGGACAAAGACACTATATTTCGACTCTCACAATAACTTTTGACCTAACATTCCACTCCTTTGTGAGAATAGTCGAATCTTCAAGTTAGTGTCTTCACTGTCTGCAGGAACATCTTTCTTATCTCCATATACCAAAGAATGATTTTTTGAACATTTGCCTTGTTTTCATTATCGTTTTTATGGGAGTTGTTCATGCGAAGTAAAATGTTCAAAAAATGAGAGTTTGTGTACCTCTCAATATCATTCATTTGAAAAAGGAACTTTGTTAAATTTCCTTTTTTATTCTTCACTTGGAAAAAATACCAAAGGGTTTATGGATTATTTCTCCATCTTCAAATTTCTTGATGTTAAGTTTCACCTTCAATAAAGCTTTTGGTACCATTGATGTTTTGTTGATTGCCATGGCTAGATCAATATCTGTTACAACCAAATAATCATAGTAGCAATCAATAAAGGCCTTGATGTGAGCATATCCAATAACGAATGTGTTTTCATTTTCCTCAGAAACTTGTGAAGTATCCACATCACAAAAAATGTTTGAAACTATGATGAGATCATTGAGATTCATAAACGGAAAATCTATGATTGTGAACTTGAAAGCCACATTATCAGCTTGAAGAACATAATGTCGAAAATTCTACATCAACCCCTAGAAAAGCACATCAAGGACAATTGATATGACACTTACAATTTTCACCAGAGACCAAACTTCTTATTCGTTTTTTCTTAGAACTAAATGAAAGCAAATTTTCAACTTCTTGAATTCATCATTATCCTTGAAACTTTCAGCAAGTTTGAATTGACTGAAAGCAAACATTAGATGATTTATAGGAAAATCAAGTTGGTTGAAGTTCATGTTTTCGGTGTCATAGCTTCTCTTTAGCTTCTTAATGAACTCCTCTACTTTATCGAGCACATCGATTTCGATGGTTTCATGACACCAAGCCTTGTTTGGACCACCCTTGTTCAAACCATGAGGATCATTGACTCTTTGATTTATAATGTTCTTTTACTTCTCTTTGCCTCACTAATTCAATATCCTGCAATCTTTTTTTTCCTGTGGATGGTTCAACTTTCTTATTAAACGAAACAAATAAGTTATCAAGCTTCTAAATCTCCTTGGGGAATACGTCACTAAAATTCTTAATCTTCAACTCAATGGAGGCTTTTAAATCACATCTTCTCGAAAATCACATGACGCTTACGAGTAGTATCATGTAATTTCGAAAGCTCAGAATCAAAAGATCAAGAATGAGTAGCCAATCTCTTTTCTATTCTTTTATCAACATCTTCAATAAGAGTATACATGCTAGACTCTTGAGATTTTAAGAGGTATTCGACCTCAACACCACTAACATATGTCTTTCCAACACTATCATTCAAGAATTCTAAAATTGAATTTAGCTTGGAGTTTAGCATTTTGAATTGTTTACCCGACATTATTGCAATATCATGCATATCATCTTCCTGTAGATTGAAATGCATATTAGCAAAAGCAACCATCAAATCATCATCATTTTCTTCTTCATGAACACCTTGGTCAACATCAGTTGACTGAGATGAAAATAAAGTTGTAATTGCCTCTTGCATCATTTTAAAAAATGTTGGAGAAACCCCACAAGTGGAAATAGGAATAATCATCGAGCTAGCTAGTGGTGATGTAGGTGGTGGTATAGTAGTGGTATTGAAGGTTGTGGTACCAATTGTTGAAGTTTCTATAGTGGTCCTCCCTTCACCCATGTTAACATGTACATCCTTATTAGATAAGTTCTCATTGATGTTTGATGTTTTTTCCTCCTCCATTTTGGACTTAGAATGCGAAACCTGGGGTGGTATGACTTTAGTCTTCTCAGGGAGTGAGGTACTTTAATATTCACTAGGATTGATGTTTGTGTCCATATAAGATATGTTCACATTAACATTTGGAGTACTATCCTCCTCAAAAGTCTATTTAACAAATGTATCCTTCCTTTGTGAAATACGAAATGAACCATCTGTCGCATCATCTGTTTCTTCACTATCATTATATCTTTCCACCGTAACTTTCTCCATCTATGTATCTTTACTCGAAGAATTAAACTTCTTTAACTTTTGAAAAAATTCCAATTCCTTTCACTTCTTAGAAGTTGGAGACTCAGGATTCAAAACTTCTCTAAAAATAACCCTTCTTTTATTCACTTTCAGTTGTAGTTTCTAAGACTTCTTTGAAATAATCTTTTTAGCAATAGTTTCACCTTCTTAAGTGGTAGTTTTGTCAATAGGAGTAGGAATCTCCTCAGTAATTTTCTCAACTTGTTTGTCCATTTACTTCTCAGATTGTTTCGTAGATTGTGACTTATTTTCTTCTCAGGTTGCTGTTCAGAAACATTTTTCTTTGTGTTCTTGAGCACCCCCTTTTCAGACTTTGAAGGCATAGTTTACTTAATCACTTCCTCTTAAACTTCTTTAGGTTTCATAGCTTTATTCTTCTTTTTCATGCCTTTAAGTGATTTAGAGGATCCCTCAACAACTATAGAAGTAACTTACTTTAGAAGAATGTCAGTAGTAGGGGGATCCATAGAAGCATGATATTCGACCAACTATTTATTGGTAGGTTTCACCAATTTAAGCATCGAATCAGGAATTTGACCAACCATTGGAAAAATTACAGCATCATCAACAACAGACTTAGGAATAGTCATAGGAGAAAATTAAGCAACATCATCATCAGAAGAAAAATAATACCTTCTTGAGTATACATTTCTTTCAGAAGTAAATTCCAAAACCTAGAACTTGAAACTTCTGTTGTCATTTTCGAATGAGATATCGAATTACCAAATTCAACCCAAAGAATTGATGAATAATCAACATTCAGGCCATAATACAGACCAACCATGATGGAATAAAACTTGAGTTTCACTTTTTCCAAGCCAGAACTCTTGCCTATTGATATTTGCATATTTAGTCTTATATTAAGCATAGATTTTTATCATTTATTAGCTAATTTATTGCATATCATGGACAAAAGATACTTAAAAGTGTTTGAATTATGTTTTTAGTCCAAAGGTGAAGCTCGAAAGCAAAAGGAAGCAGGAGAAGCGGTTGGGAGCTTGGGAATTGAACAAAGAAGAAAACCACCAAAAACAACATCTATTCGGCGAGTCCGATAGAAGAATCGAGAAGATAAAGACCCCGTGACTTACCGTGCATGGGAATCAAGTGATGGACTCAGTGAGTCGTTTCACATCTATAAAAACGGCTGCCCAGATCCCCATTTGATATTCTGGAACCCTTGGGGAGAAGCAGCTGCGAATCAGAGCCATGAGAGATCAAAAGAACGAAGATACAACCCAAAACCAATTCCAAAGGAGATTTGAGGCAAATCTACATCATTCTTACTTTAATCTATTGTTCTTCATTATGTTTAGACTTTTAGATTTTGTTTTTATGCTGTTAATCCCCACAATCATGAGCTAAAACCTTTAAACTTCTATATGGGGAGACAAAGTTAATACTATGGATTGATTATTTATGGTAGGATTGATTTAATATTGGTGATTTTGTTGATTCTAGCTTGTTAAAGAACCTCATGTGTGATTGAAAACTATTTTTCTGTTATTAGGAAGTTGATTAAGTTGTATGAACATCTCTTAATTGCTACCTCATATAATTTATGTGACCACTTTATTATATGACTAGGATTAGCGACTGTGAAACTAGAATTAATACAAAAATAGGTAAATTCATGTGCGAGCTTGTGTGATAACCATCAACAAGAGGGTAACTAAAGGACCAAATTAGTTAGCTATTACAAGTGTAAATTAACCCGAATAAATAACCTAGTGAATTAAATTAAATTAGACATTTGATCACTGTTTGAGTTAGTTTGTTCTCTAAGGATTAGTGCAGCGAACGCGAAGCTAATCACTTGAATCGGTAGACAATAGAAGAATTAATCCATTGCACTATTACCATAATATCAACCATAGGGTCAATTGAGTTGAAATAAACAGAATTCTCCTTCGTCATTGAATTTAGTTGAATCTTTTCTTTTCTAGTTCTTAGTTTAAGTAATAGTTAGTAAGTTTCTAGTCTTGTAAAACTAGAGAAAACCCCTTTTATTATTTAGATTTAGATAAAATTAGTTTTTATTTTTAGTTTACCGTTCCCTGTGTTCGATACCCTACTTATTTAGATTTACCATAACTGATAGGTCCACTGGCTTTGTGTGATTATTTTATAATTAAAAGTAGGTTTAAAACTAGTTGAGTTCACATACATCAAGCTTTTGGCGCCGTTGCCGGGGAACGGTTCTAAATTAGTACTAATTTCTATTTTTATCGATCCTTTGTGTGGGATTTATCTCACACAAAGTTAATTCTTAGGTAATTTGGTAGTTAGTATAGGTTTTAATAAATATCCGTTTTAATAGTTAATTAGAAAAATGCATTGAACTTGCCGAGTGCACTCGTGACAACTCGACGAGTCCATTGCTGTTCACAGTTTTAATTTTTATTTTATTTATGTTCTTTTTAGACGTTTTTCTTGTTTTGCTTGCAGTTGTTTCATGACTCGAGGATCTGATACACCTCTGGTCCCTCCTCTAGAAGACCCGAAATCTGCACTAAGGAGGAACAAAGGAAAAGCCGTTGGATAATCCGTTTCTTCAAAGAACTCGCCACTAAAGAACCTCAAGTCCGTTTTCATCAAGAAGAAGAGCAGCATATTAGGAGCATCCAGCGCCTCTTTAGCAATCGAAGACCCGATTAAAGAAGACACCTAGTATGAGACCGAGGGAGAAGAAGATCTCACTTTCGGGCACGAATCCGACTTTGAAGACAAATTATACATTGTCATGGCTAACATCGATGAAATCCCCATGGGGGAATGGAAGAAGAGGATGCGTGACGACACCGGACCGGGACTTGTGCAACCCGCAATTCCCGCTACTACTACTTTTGAACTAAAGGGCCACATACTCGCTCAACTTAAGGAGATTCCTTTCTATGGAAAAGACCACGAAGATGCTTACAAGCATTTGGATGAAGTCAATGATGTAGCTGGTTACTTTAATTTTCCAAACGTGCCTCGTGAGACTCAGCTACTTCGCATGCTCCCAGTTACGTTCAAAGGTGCTGCAAAAGACTGGCTCAAGTCACTCCCTCCCGGGTCAGTCACCACATGGGCCAAGATGAAAGAAGAATTTATAGATCACTTTCGCCCACCGTCTAAAATAGTCAACTTAAAGAAGGCCATTGCTAACTTTGAACAACAAGCTGGGGAGTCACTATATGAAGCATGGGAGAGGTACAAGAGCCTGATAAGGAATTGCCCGCACCATGACCTTAATAGCCAACAAGAAGTTTCCATCTTCTATGACGGAGTCAATGTCACCACAAGGCAGTTACTTGATTCGCAAGGCCCACTCACAAGGAAGCCACCCCCGGAAATCAAAGAATTAATTGAAGAATTCTCTAAACATTCTAGAGAATACCACAACCCACGAAATGAAGTAACCAGGGGGTGGTGAACACGGTCAACAATAGCATGGCAGCAATGATGGCCAAACTAGACAATTTAGACAGAAGAATGACAAAAATGGATCAAACAATCCACGCTATTCGGGTGGGGTGTGAAAATTGTAGGGGACCACATCTAACTAAAGACTGTGATTTGGATGAGAATGGAAACAAAAAAGCGCAAGTTTTCTATTCAAGTGGGGACAGATACGACGAGAATTGGCGGAAACCAAAGAAGGAATGGATCCCGTACGAAGAATATAAAAAGGCAAAGGAAGAGAAATACAAGCAAAAAGAGAGGGGTTTCTATGAAAAAGAAGAACCGGTTATGGAAAAAAGAACCGATTTAGAAGAAATTCTCACTAGATTCATAACCGCGTCAGAGAAAAGGCACAATGATCATGATGCTGCAATACATGAGACTAGAAATATACTTCGGAATCAGCAAGCATCTACTCTTAACATTGAGAAACAGCTAGGTCAACTTGCACATCAAGTGAACGAGAGAAGACCGGGTGAACTTCTGAGTAAAACCGAGAATAATCCAAGAATGGAGAACGTGAATGTTATAACCTCTAGCTATGGAAAATTTTCACTCCTATGACCACTGTGCATGCAGAAAAGACAGAAGGGTCGAGTTTAGCTAAACCCTATCAGACTCGCCGAGTCCCTCTAATGGTTAAAGCATATAGAGCTTTCATGGAGCATGTAAGATCCCTTCATGTAAATGTTCCAGTTGTGGAAACAATGCTTCAAACACCCAAGTATTTTAACTTTATGAAAGGTCACTTTGCTGCTAGAAAGGATTTAGCTTAAGTCGCGGATATAGTAATGAGTGAGATAATCGAAGAGAAGGGCGATACGGGAAGCATCATAATTCCTTGTCAATTTGGAAATGCACTTGCTACTAAAGCGTTGACTGGTTCGAGTGCAAGTATTAACTTAATTCCTTTCTGTTTCTTCAAGAAGCTGAATTTACTGGAGCTGAGGCCTGTGAATATGAAGATCTATTTGGCGGATAAGACAATTATTAGTCCAAGAGGTGTTTGTGAAGATCTTCTCATCAAGGTGGATAACTTTATATTCTGCGTGGACTTTGTAGTGTGCAATATGGAAGAAGACCCCAAAACTCCAATTATGTTGGGGAGACCATTCTTGAATACTGCGGGTGCATTAATAGATGTATGCGAGTCAACACTAACATTGAGGGTAGGAGATGAGTCAGCAGTGTTTAAAGCTCTACCAGAGATTAAGCAAGAAGAAGGAAGAAAAGAAGAAGTCTCATTCATTAATTTGGATGATGAA